TATATTCTTCATTCCCTTTTATGCGAAATGAATGTCTGCACAACGATATTATCTCAGGAGATTCTTCGAAACCCAGTTATTCTTCGCATTGCAGTGCATGTTTACTTCATTAAAGCAAAAGCCTAAATATTTTTATATTATACAAGCGTTAAGTAGCACAAAGATATATTTCAGAATAATCTCACTTATTCAAATGTATGGAGATTCAAATCCGCATCTGTTTATTTTCTCAAATTTGTTTACTATCGGAAAGATAGCTTTGTAATCATAAAATAAATGCAAAAGTTAAAGTAAAGGCTGAATTATAAAGAGTCTTTTTCCGAAATGTCCTTAAGACGAAGAAGAGTAAGTTAAGAGAGTAGTATCTGGCATGAATCAGACTATGTGGAGTGGATGAATATCATGAGCTGGGCCATTATTTGAATGGATTAGCTGAAGGCCTTTGTGGCTGAATAACTAAAGAAAATACAATTTTTCTCCTATTAATCATAAAGTAAGCTAGAAGTTTGAAAATGATTACACAAATGACGATTTTTAAATTCCAGAGGGGATGATTGTCGACTTTGAAAAGGTTTAAAGACCCTTAAAGGCAATTGATGCCATTCTTGCCAATCTTCAGAATAGGACATGCTTGTATTCTCATTGCCGGCAATTGTAGCTAGCCTTTGGTATTGGAGTTTGCCTGACCTCGACTACCTGTTTTACACCAAATCGGAAAAATGATTTCCCACGGGTTTCAAAAATTACTATTCGTTGATTGATGCCGCTCGGATGTGGGAGAGTCCGAACACCTCTCACTTCGTTTCGGTTAGCTGACTTGTATTCCTTTAGTGCTCTCTCTACAATTGTGCCGATGTCTCCTTCCAGATATTTGAGGAAGGCATTATCCTTGGTACGATCGGTGAAATAGGCTCTCAGACGCCCATGCACTCGAGTAGTCATGGTAAAACGACAGGCCAATTTTTCTTCCACCACTGAGATCTGATATGTTTTGAAGGGAGTGATAAACGACAAAGACAAAACCCGGGGTATTATTACACATGGAGGGAGTGATATTAGAGCTGAGTGTGTAAAAAAAATGATTTGGGAGATTGGATTAAATTTGTCTATGAGTGGAGTGTAGAGCTGTTTAACTATGGGGGGCTTAACTGTAAAATGTATATGGAGCTCAGGGTGCTGTAGATTAAGTCTAATTTTAAAATACTCGGCATAAGCATTTCATTTATTTTTCTGGTCCAGAGTAGGATTTATTACAAGTAACCTAAGAATCTTTGAAAACAGATATTATTTCGCCATATTACATATTTTAACGTGGTCTGTTGAGGCCTATATTTATTATTTAAATTTTATAACAAATAAATTGAAAAATAAATATCGAATTACCACTCTTATCGAAAGAAAGGCTATTTTAGTGTGCATTTATTAAAGGCTTTTCCATATTTTGGAATATTTATTGCAGAAAATAATATGCCTGTCCTTAGAGATGAGCGCTAAGAATAGTCACGTTTTAATGTATAAAACAATTTTTTGTATCACTTAGCACTTGAGACAGTGATTTTGAGAATGCGACATTTTAGCATGTTCAGGTAGAAAAACAAATGATGAAGAGAAGTGGTTAATAATTTAAGAAAACACCTTATGTTTATAGGGATTCTTTGCTAGGCATAAGACGTGGGTTTTTCTTCGTCCCTTTGATTTTTTATCTCTCTTTCCCTCCTCTTTTCCTCCTCTCTACCCCCATTACCAATCTCTGTCCTTCTGTTTTCCCATTCTATATTTTCCTTCACCGCTTCTTCCACAGCTCCCCCATATCTGTTTTATTCCATCTAGAATATATATCAAACTTATCAGCAAATTTTACCAGTGACTGTCGAGTACAAGTACTTTTTCTCGCGCCTGTATCAGAAATGACGACATCTCTTAACTTTTATGAGTATGCCTCTCTATTTATAAATACTTAAATAAGTTAACAGTCAGCATATTTATGTTGTTTTTACTTTCCTATTCCCCACGGGCTTCTAGAATTTCTTTGGCTGACCATTACCGGACAAAATAGTTGTGGTGACTCTTAGTATACATAAAAGTACCAGATGAAGTGATAAGTAGGTCGATATCTGCAGAGGACGACTGTTGATTCGTGTTGCTCTGCGGTCAGTTGGTTATACTACATCTCTTAGCTTGAGGATGTTCACGAGAGGGAGTGTGCTTTCGTCTGTCATGCCAATGCGAAGACATTATCAGAGCTGGAAGTTGCCCATGCGAAGGTTTAGAGTTTATACTAAGTCAAAAAGACTAGCTGGTTCTATACATGCATCCTTAACTAAAAGCAAGAAAATATAGATATGGATAGGTTAATCTAATTACTTATATTCTTGGGCATGTGAACGTGTGTGTGTGCGTCGGTGTGTGGGTTCACGTATCTTTTTGCCTTTAGTGGATGGGTAGGAGGAAGACACTTTAGACGGAAATCCAAGTAATTGCAAAATAGACCAACTTTATTTCTGTCATCAAAGCTTAATGACTTACATACAGAATTGCCTGAGTTGATGAGCTTAACAGAATTGTTTAACTGTTGAACCAGCGACAAAAAGAATGAGACTCAACTGGTCTGTTCAGTGATGATTCTAACTACATTCACATTCATTGAACTTTTCTGGTAAGCTCATCAACTCAATTGGACATACGGGATTTCGAAATCATAGCCATGTTATTCTCTGAGTTATTCAATTTTGATGACCCTTGATGGAAGTTAAGCTTCATCATAATTACTTACACCCTTGCAAGCATACTTGCCCATAGGCCATTAAACTTTGACGATGCTAGACTGATGCGTTATGACAGTACGTTTTGTACTCTGACTTTCAGGCATACAAACTTTTAGCTTGTTAACTGAACCAGACTTACGTTCAGGCATAAGAAATCCAAGTCAAGCTCTTTCTTTGGTCATTAAACCTTGATGACCCAGAACTAACATTGTATTCTATTTAGCTGGGAGTTCATCGTCTTACTTAATTGTGATTAGAAACAAATAAACGAACGCAAGCATAGGCAATATACTAATTATAGTGACATGAAAGAACAATGACTAAATAATTCTAAATAATTTTATATTCGCTTTAATTTGCATGTACGGTAAAGCCAATCAGTCTTCTTGAACTAGAATCAACTTGAAGCATTTGCAAACAAGAATTTCGGCTCCGATGCTTTCCATTAAAGGGCAACGAAAGCTCAGGCAGCTTTCACTCGAAACGTAAAGAGTGTCTCGTTGAATGATCAAACGTGAATCAGCCATCTTCTTTGGCTTAGATCATCTTATGAATCTTTTTATCAAGCATTTTCATATAAATAGAGTCATTGGGATTCTTAAAATGTTAATTGCTCTTCATATACTACTTGGTAAGCATGGCTAAACCTCGAGCAAGCACGCTTATTAATGTTAATCAGCCTCAGATACAAACGAATCTGAGTAAGCTCAACGTTCATTGATGACATTATGCCAAAATCCTTAAATCGCAGAATCAAGAGAGTCTATATTTTAGTTCAAAATCTTTTATTCGGCATCAAACCGTCTTGAAAAACTTGATCTTTATGCTTACCTCCACTTCACAAATATGCATTGGATTAACGGTGACGTTGGTGTCTACACCCCAAGACACCTCTTTTTCATGCGTCTGTCGATTAGCCTTGTTCAGAGTGAGCTCACGAGAGAACCCGGCATTCGCCTCGAAAATTTGGTTCGGTAACTGCACGGAAATATGGTAAAGTGAAATTGTGGCAAGGTAAAAGTTTAGGCAAATTCGAAAGCAAAGATTAATATTTCACAAAGTATTTAAAAACCATCTTTAGTATAATTTTCAAGTCCCAGAAATTCAGCTCTTATATTCTGACAAGTGGGAATATGAAGAAATCTCTTTTCCTCAAAGATTCGTCAGGGGCAGCAGATCGAAATGAACTCGTTAGCTGCTAGGTATTAAAAACTTCAAATTCTGAGGTCGAAGCAAATTTTATTGTTTTTTATATTAGGTAACAGTAAATCTATTCTTCTCAGACAGAACCATTACTTGCTCAAATTTAAAGGCATTAGAAGACATTGCAACTTGCTCTTGTAGACCTATATATATCAGAAAAGTATTAGTAAATCCGATCAGACCATCGCGATTAAAATGATCGATTATATTAAATAAAGTATTTTTATCCATCTTTGAAAATATTTCATCTCTTGCTACATGTTTTGTCAGTTATTGGTAGTTGTTTGACCCTGATTTTGCAACTTGGTCATATTGGTAGGAAGACCTAGAAGAATGCACCTAGCCCGGCGTCCATAGTATGCATGATCATTTCCAGAGTCAGATCGTTAACGGTGCACATTCCCAGACGTTCTGCTGGCATCGTGGTCGGCATCGTCATGGAGCCTTGTCAGTCTTAGCGCTAGACCACAACTCGTCAAAAAGACAAGTGAAGTCGATCCTTTGAACAATTGTCTGCTAAACAGTTGTGGTATCTCTCCTCCTTTTCTAGCCAATTCACCTACCCTTTATTCTCGTACCACCCCTTCACTATCACGATTGCTTAATTTCTTATTTACATGTGGTATGGTGTGCCCTTCTGAGCGGATTTTATGATAACTTTTCACACCCCACTCCTAGCTTTATCACTCCACACCCTCTCATTGGGCTTGAAGTGTTGATCTTAGTCTGCCATATTAGCTCGCAACCTTCTTCCCCTATTTCTTATCAGAATCTCCCTCTTGCCCCATAGGATCCGTCTCCTATCTCTCTGGTTCAGGTATTCCACTTGGCCACTGCCACCCTATCTGTGCTACTCGAGGCGCTATTTCCCACACTCTGCCTTAAGCATTTGATGGCACACATACCCCCGCCTCTCTGAGTAGACCGACAAAGTCTGGATTCTCAAGCTGGATGAGAGACTAACTTAAGACTGTAGATTCTGAGTAATTCTCTTCGTCGAGCTTTTGCTTCATGGACCATGTCTATGGTCAAACACATCTACGGTTAGCCCAACCTGCTCTAGTATTCCCCGCATCTATCGTGCTGCTATCCATAATGCCAAGTTTATGACTTCCGCTTGTGGGCCAGCCAAAAGTTATGTGGTTCTACATGTTTTGATTAGGCTAACGGTAGACGTCTTCGTTTGGCTTCCGATTGTTCATTTCTGGTCTCCTTGCGATATCTTCTCCTATAATTAACAATGTAACCTTGATCCATTCCTCTTCCTTTTGCTCGTCTTACTGCTGCTTGATCTTATCCGAGTTTGCTTAGACAATCTGCAAAGTTTTAGTTCATCCTGCCTTCTTGAAAGTCTCCTGTTCATTAGATTTCTTTCGGTCAGTATATTGATGGACTCTCGGATCCTGAGTTTTCTCGTATTTCCACCATATGCAGCCAGACTTTCTGTTGATTTCGTGTCCCGTCCGTCCAATGTGTTCCGCTATTTAGGATCTTTTCGTGTCCATGTTTTTACAAAGTCTTTGATGATCCTTAATTTATAAGCCGATTTTTTTTCATGTTTCACCAATATACTTCTGCTCACAGTTGCCACATTTGATGCGATAAAGTCCCGAGCAATCCAGTTCGTCAACCTTCTCGTGTTGCGTCGGCAAGCTGACGTAGTGTGGTTTTTTTTATAACCTTGCGATTCCATTTTTTAGTAGTGGTCGTATTTCTTGGCTCAGTTGACAGGCATATCCAATTTTCTTTCTATGAATTCATTGGGGTACCCGTTTCTAAGACAAATCTGAGTCAATTGGTCCAACTCCTCGTCTCAGAATTCAGTGTCCGTTAATTTTAAGCTTCTACTCATCAAACTGCTCAGTATTCCAATCTTCAGTCTGTATATATGGTGAGACTAAAAATTAGGGATTATTCCCGCATATAAATTTTTTGTGAAAAATCTCCTCATGAGTGTCCCGTTGGAGTGCCTGACTTCAATATCCAGAAAGGGTAATGTTTCATCTTCCTCCACCTCCATTGTAAATTTGATTCGTGCATCAAGTTGATTAATTAATTTGAGGAATTCATTCAAATTCTACTTACTATGCGACCAAAGTGCAAGGTAATCTTCCGGATAGCGCATAAGCACTCTTGGCTGCAGTGGTGACTTCCAGAATTCCATTTTCAATTTGTCCATGCATATATTTGCCAAAAGAGGTGAGAGCAGAGATCCCATCGGTAGTCCAAATATTTGCTCGTAGATACTGCACTTAAATGTAAAATAGGTGGTCCTCACTGTCAGGTTGATCAGTCGTGTTTATGGCTCCTTCCGTATCCGTTCTGCCTCCAGGATATCCTTTTATCGCTCCAAGTTCTCTAGCAGGGCACATATCACCAACTCGCTTAAAATGTTTCTATACATGAATTGTACGTCGAAGTCTACCAATATTTCCATCCCCACCAGCTCAATATTTTAGATCCTTTATGAAAGTTAATATGAACTTTTCACGGTATTCGAGAGTCTGTAATTTACTATATTGAGCTTCAAGCAAATGAATTTCGCTAGTTTTCGTGTTGATCTATGCTTGTTGCTGTCTCTAAATCTTAAAAGATTTCCTTCCTTCCGTAAGCTATCGATGATCTTGCTTCATTTTTAATCGAAGAAAAAATCATTCATCTGTCAATTTATCCCTTATTATTCATTTAATTTAACATATTCTTCAGTGTCCCATTGATCTTCATGGTTGGATCCTTCCTTAATATTTGATAAGTGCTCCGGTCGCCTCTGATACTTTCCATTTTATCCGTGTTCTGTTTCCTGTAAAGTACCATCGTCGCTTCTTGATATGCCAGGACTCGTGAGACTATTTCCATTTGCATCTCCCGCTTTTTCTCTTCCAGATAATTACCCGATATGTTGACAACTTCCACAAGATTATCATCAACAACCTTTTCTTCGTTACCTGGGGAAAAATTTAACCTATCCTACAGCAGATCCATGATTTAAGGATAAAGAGGAATTGATGATAGGTTTACTACCTTAACCCTATCGTTGTTTGTAGCAGTTGATGCTTTCAATACAGAACCCTCAAAATTTGCCAGGGTTGGCTTGGTCTTGCGTTGACTTATTATCCCATAGCTAAGCAATTTCTTGTCATGTCGCTTATTTATCAGATCTCTGACCCTCTGCGACTTCTGGTCCATCATGTTCAGGAGTTTTCGAAAATCATCCGAAGTGAGAACCCTACCTAGATACTTCCTTAATCTAGGCTTGATATCTATGAACTTAAATAGCTTACGCCTCTCAGTCTCGTAACGGTCCTATAATTTCTGAATGGAGGAGTGATGAGATATTTCATTAACTGTGTCCAAATAACACTTCCTTGTTAGGTTGCAGTACCCGGGAGAGATACCATAATGCTTGCAACAATTCAAATAGGTCAAATGGCAGAATTGACTCACTATTGTCTTCTTGGTCTGACTTTAATCGGTGCATAATTTGGCAATCTTACTTCCATCGTTTAAATGAAGGTATGAAGACCAAGATGGCGTGGCCTTTTGCATGGTCGCGGTATCCTTTCGTTTTATGATATTTGATTGATCTTGTTTTCGCAACTTGGCAATATTGGCAGGAAGACCTAGAGGAAGCCCCTAGTTCGACGACGAACGAAAGCTTAGCACATTTTTAGCGAACTCGAAGTAGATTGCTTCTGAAACAGAGTCAGCAAGAAGGTGAGAGTAAAGCCAATCTATAGCAGGTCAAGAGGAATCCGCCGTAGACTTCGGGGGAGAATGACCTTTGAAGCTCTTCATCAAAAGCTTATGCACGAAATAGAAGTAAGCTCAACAAAAAACGAAGAAACAGAGGCTCGTAGAAAAGTAAATATACTATATGAAGTAGAACTGAGGGATGAGCATACATTGTAGACGTCTAGAACAGAAGGAATAAAACATGCTTTAACAGAAATGGACAGA